AGTAGCAGTAGTAGCAGTAGCAGTTGTAGTAGTAGTAGTAGTAGTAGTAGTAGTAGTGGTGGTAGTAGTAGTAGTAGTAGTAGTAGCAGTGGTAGTAGTGGTAGTATAGTAGCAGTAGCAGTAGTCGTCGTTGTTAGTAGTGATGATGGTGGTTAGTAGTAGTAGTAGTAGTAGTAGTAGTCGTCGTCGTCGCAATGGCATTCGCAGCAACAGCGGCAGCCGCGAGAGTAGTACTGTAGTAGCCGTCGTCGTCGTCGTCGTGGTGGCAGTTGCAGTCCTCGCTTTCGTCGTCGTCGTGGTAGCAGTGGCCGTCGCAGCTGTACTCGTGGTAGTCGTGGTGGTGGCGGTGGTGGCAATGAAGCAACAAGGCGTCATCGTGGCAGTTGTGGCAATAGGTTTACGATTGGCATTGCTAATAGTGGCCAGCAGCAGCAGCGGCAATCGTGCTATTCTTCCCAATACCAACAAGGATTCCTGTGTTGGCTGCTTTGCTCTGGCTGGCGCATTACTGCCACAAATTGTTTTGACCATCATCCAGGAGATGCTACAGCGTTAACTGTAGCATGTGCCTGCCTGTGTAAAGATTTTTGCCATTGATGTTGAAACATCTTATTTGTTCACTTGCTTTCCCCATGCTTGATCGTTTGCTGAAGCAATTGATGTTGGTCACGTCGTTGGTCGTGTTGCCTGTTGTGGTGCTAGGCATAGAGATACTTATGCTCATGCTAAAGTGGCCATGGTGATGGCCATGGTAATACACATCATGGCGGACACGGTGGTGGCCGCGGTGGTGGTGGCAAAAGCAGTTATCTGGTGAGTTGACTGCTGAGGTCTTTGGGGCTCGACTGCGGGTGCTGTGACGTTTAAGGAAGTCCTGCGGCTCCTCATGATGCTCGAATTTGCAGCCAGCAACTTTGCACAGCCAAAGCATGTCATCTTGTCCCGCCTGCAGCACGCGCGCCTGTGCCACCCAGGCGGCATAGGCCCGAAAGAACTGGCCAACCATCCGTGCGTCAACTTTGGTCCGCTGCTGCTTCGCGCCCCGACTGCCCTGGTCAAGCTTGCATTGCGAATTCGAACACTGGATCACCGCCACATGCCTTTCGAAACTTGGTGGCACGGTACAGCCGCCGCAGCTGTCGACGCTGCTCTGCAACCTCTTCACAGACAATGCAACACGAATTTGACAATTTTTGAGTCCGAACTCAAACGGAGAGCAAGCTTGGTCAAACCAAAGCTCCACTTTCCGGGCCTTGTTTGCCTGGCTCTTCCAAGCGAGGAACAAAGCCGCGTTCCAGGCCCGGCGGCGCCCAAGCCTGGGTGCTGTGTCAAATTGATTCATGCTTCTTCGATCTGGAAGCCACTACGAGAACATGTTGACTCAGCCGAGAAACCACATGCCGGCGACCAGCTGCCGAAGCTGCAGCCTGTCAGAAGACACTCTGCAAGTGCAGTCACGCATTTTCTGCAACGGGGCCCGAGTCCGGTTCCTATCTTCTCCAAGGCATCAGCCACATCGGGGAGGGGGGCTGGGAGGTGTTGGGAGGTGGCCTTTCTTTCCAGGCCGCCATGCAGCTGGCAAGTCGTTGGAGCTTGGCACTGTCGGTCTTCTGGTTGACATGGGACCTGACCGTCTGAGAAAACAAAACTCACGGACAGACATTGTACGTATGACGTCCAGCTGCATCCGCATAGGCTGGTGAAGCCATAATATTCTCTTTAAGCAGCCTCTACTATATAATTACGCATCATCTGCATGCAGCTAGATGTTGCCCCTTCGCTGAAAACAGTATTACCAGCTTCGCACCACGTCTGCACAAGCATAGCTAGGGAGAGTGCTATTTCGAAATGCAGCGACAACCAGCCATCATTCAAACTTGTTTCTGCGCGGGCACGCGAATCCGGCTCTGAAGACCGTGTGCTGCTTCCAGCGCTCCATAATCCTGTCAGGGGAGACATGTCCAACTCTGTGTTTCGGTGCAGCTTTCACGAAGTGTCCTTGAGAGCTTCCACCGATCAAGAAGACGAGAAGCAAAGAAGCTGGAAGACTCGTGCTCGTACACCTTCGTTGTGAAGGTCACATCCTATCCCCTTCCAAGAGTGTCTCTCCCGTCGTGCTCTCTAGGACACCGTGCGAAGATGTGCAGAGCAACTCCGTCAGAGCAACGAACATGCCAGGCAGGGAGTGCCAAGTGACTTGGCTGTTGTGGTTCATGGACTTCCTCCCTCCCCGTGCCATCACGGTGTCAACGACTCTGCCTTCGCCCACTCGTCAAAGCTTCGCATGAGCGAAGATCGATCACACATGCTGCGCACCTTCTCCTCGAGACCCGGACTTGAATCACTGCTCAAGACCCATCGAACCGTCAAATCAGTGCCAACAGTCCTGCGCCTTGCGAGCAGCTCGCCTGTGACAAGGCAGGAAGAAAGCTGGAGTGGCAAGCGCAAACGAGTATAGGGCACGGAGAGCCCATGCCCTCTGCAAGGTAACAAAGCAACTGGAGCGCGTGCCGACAATTGCGAAATACTGCCCTCAACTTGCAGGCAAGCTGAGAACCCCGGAAGTCGGCCTATTGAACTATTGCTTGCAGAAACCTCACGCCTTTGGCGAGCACGCTGCGCGAGAACGAGGAAGGAGGCCGCGAGAATGGTCTGCGAAGGTCATGCTTGATGCCATCCAGGAATCCAGAAACCCCGGCCCGAGAGTTTTTGCAGGGTCCTACACCTCCCAAGACATTCACAGAACGCCCAGATGTCCATTCTGACCGAGCCAACCTGCCCAGTAATGTCCATGACCAGGCGGGGCCGCTGCAGCTGCCACATCCGTGCACGCTTGAAAAGCAGTGCCTCGCAGCTGACAACAAAGAAGCACTGCACTTCGTCAGATATCGGCAAGATTCTGCCTGTGTGTAGATAAAATGCATGCATGTCTGTATTTGTATGTATGTATGTACGTAGGTATGTATATGAATGTATGTATGTACGTATGTATGCATGCATGTATGTACGTACGTATGTACGTACGTATGTATGTATGTATGTGTGTATGTCCATACACGCCTGCATGCATTCACACGTGCAAGTATTGTATCTTCTTTGAATTGCGTATTCGTTGCCTGTAATGTATATATTATCGCATGGGCACATATTCGTTTACTTTGGGTCAAAAAGCCAACGGACAAATGACGCAAGTTAGACATGGATGCCCTAGCGGAGAAAGTCTGCCAGGATTGCAAATCTACGGCCCTCGGCTCCAGAAAGCGACCGCCTCCCGCCAGTGGTGGAGAAACTCACGGCGTCGAACTCGGAGCACTTGCTCATGCCTGCGTGCCCACTACCCGAGAAACACAACTATAACCCTAAACCCTAAACCCTAAACAGTCTGATCTCAGTAGGCGTAGGGAGCCTCTCGTTGTCGCGCTCTGCACTCGGCGCGTTTGCAGCATCTTTTCGCTGCTCGCGGCGTACCTCCAGGTGCACCGGTGCAATCCGGAGTGGAAGAGCAGAGGGAATAAGGAGCAAGACTTTCAGTCTCGTGCAGTTCGGGCTTGGCTACATGGATGTTGCATGAAAGAGGATGGAGCCCTGCAAACCCCGAATTCCAACGAACTCTGTGTTTTTCGGCGCCGATCAAATCAATCCAGTTGCATAAATGTCAGGAGTGGTGGACTCCGAAAGTCAGAGCATCTCCTATATCTCCTTTTCCAGCAGCACGGATTGGAGTAGTGACTAGTGCAACTGTTGCTCCTGACGAATGTCAGCTTCTCTTCTACTCCCTATCTGTCCCTGTCTCATGCTTCGTCGGCACAGAACTCGACACAGGGTTGGGATGACGATGTGCGATCCTGTCGTGCGCCGCCGATCCAGTTGTACGTGACCTCCAGGCCCGCGTTCACGGCCGTTCGAGTCGGCTGTCTTGTGCTTGCCCTCCTTGGACCTGTTGAAATACTTGCGGTGAAGCCCATGGTCTTGCTCTTCCTTACCGGAACTCATGTAGACTCCAGCCATGTGCGGAGGCCATCCGACCAGGCTTGAAGTGTCCCAGCTGCCTGCTCCTCTGAAACAATTCTTTGTCGCATAGCTTGCAGACACTCGTCTGTCCTTGGTCAGGCTGTAGGGCCTACTGTGAAATGCGCACAGGGCACACTAATTCACACTGTTATGCTGCAACCTGCAAGGTGGTGCAACCCTGGAAACGAAGTGTGCGCCTGCACCCGATGCTTCAGCTCAAAACTGCAGCTGAAGATCAAATCACATTCGGTGAGGCTGATGCTGTACTTGTGTTCATATCGATACATGTGCGGAGCCCGCAAATAGACACAGAAGCTGGGGATTTTCGGCACCGGGACAGGATCGCCGGAAAAAGCCCGCTTCAGAAAGTCGTCGGGTGCAAAGCCACGAGTCCACAGGACAAGGCCTCCGACGATCCGCTCCACCATGCCAGGCAAGGCACTCTGCACTCCCAAGGAGAGGATGAACCACCCATCCGGGCCCACCGTAGCTCTGAAGCGGTTCAAGCCAAACTCGGGCGGGTCCCCTCTGCCCACGCTCCGCGCGTCGCAGAAGTTGCGCCAACAGCGCGGCCCCGGCCGGAAATGTTGGATCCCACGCTTCACACGCTTTGCAAGCTCACGGTCGAACTGCACGGCTGACTCTTCGCACCCGTGCAGAATGCTTGGGCGGAAATCATCTGGTTCCAGGACTGACCAAGGAACCATGACTTCATACCGTTGGACTTCGCAGAAGCACGAAGCATGGAAACCAGAGTCGACGCCGGTGCATGCAAGGATCCGGAAGTTAGGGGCGTCAGTGAGCTCCTCCTGAATGCGTTTGCCCACCTCTGCATCCGGAATCCCCTCGGCACATTTCGGAAGGCGCAGGCCCAAAACGTTCACCACTGCATTGGCGATCCGGTTGGAGGGCACGGCAGCGGAAAGTCGAGGTGACGGGTGCTGCTTCTTCTTTTCCGATTGGCTGGGCGGAAATGCTGTCCAGGCCGCACGGACCAGCTCCTTCCATAGGTGGTCCTCCCAGTGATGATAAGACACCGTCAACGCAACGTGCCTTCGCGACTCCCTTGAAAGGATGGAAGGTGGCGCAGGCGGTTTCTTTTCATAGCAAGACCCCTCGCGGATGTGCCGGAAAAGCGCATTTCTGGACGGAAAAGCCACACCACAGTGCTGGCATTGTGATGGCGATGGTGGAGTTCCGAAGGATTCCTGCTCTCATCTTCTGCAGCATGTCAGACACATAACTCGAAAGACGATCATGAGCAGTTCTGGGAGACAAGGTGCCGGCTCCATCCGCAGGATTGCCCGCATTTGAGGTTCCGGGGTAGCCAAGCCTGGCCACCGGAACCCTGCTCCGGCCACACTCTGCATGTACTCCTCCAAGTACAGGAGCTCCTCCAGCAAGGCACGATACATTCTAGTTAGATTATATACTATCGTGTGTATAATAAATGGAATATGTTGTATATTGACTTATTAATTAAGGTTCACTGCAAGATGGTCTGATGGTTTTGAACATCCGGCGTCCTTCAGGTCGGCAGAGAACTCCAAAATCGCCACTTGAACGAAGTGGCATCGCTTCTGCTTGTCTTTCACTCCTGGTCTTGCGGGACTGGTACGAGTAGCATCTGAGTTTTGAGCACAGATCGGCTCACGTTACAGCTGGGGCACGATAGCGAACGTTGTCAAACTCGGCCAGCCATTTCACGACTGCCTTGCGGTTTTCGGAGTCCAAGACCATGTCGCCAACAACATGTCGAAAGC